TCACCTCTAGGGGCTGTCCAGCCTCCAAATGGTTGAGCTAAAATAGACAACGCATGAAGCCATAGCAATCAGGAGGTATTTGTTCCCTCTCCCACCCTCCGCGATGGGTCCTGTGATGTGGATGGTGATCCTTTCGAAAGGTGCTGATGATGTGTTGGTGCCTCATGCCCCGGCTCCTTGATCTGGTATGTCAGTCTGCTGTGCTTCTCGAGTGCAGCCAGCAGTACCGCCGTCTTACATAGTCAAGTGTATTGTTAACTCCAAGGTGTCGCCCGAAGGTCCTCCGTGGAGTTCCGCCTCATCTCCTTCACTTTACTCGAATTAAGGACTATTTGTGCTGTATTCGTTCTTCCATCCGTCAACTCCCAGTGACGCTCTAGCACGCCGTCTCTCACGACCAGAGATTTCTACTGAGCGCAGTGGCTTTTTTGGATTGGGCTCCAGTTAGCAATGTATTTCCATTCAGGACGTTGCCCAGCCTCCACCTCCTGTAGGATCTGCCTCGCGTCGTGGTGGTTTAGATGCTCCCTCCTTACGGTGATGTGGTCCCAACTACTCGCAGCGTTAGCAGAAATGGCTTGCACTCTAAGACTATCTGCCAGACGTTCTATCTTCTGGCATGGTCTCCTTGAGAGTTCATCCGTTTTGGTGTGCTTGCGCCCCTGGCGATGTAAAATTGTAATCTTGGAGACGATGAGCCATGCGGGATGTTTGTCCTTCCATATTCTTGAAACTCAGGAGCTAGGTAGCAGTCGGTGGGCAGATGGAACCCTTCGCCGTAGAGGTATTTATGGAGATGTTCCACTATCTTCAAAATATTCAGTAACTCCCTCTGAGTGACTCAGTAATTCCTCTCAGTCTTGGAGAGTCTTGGCCTTCATGTACCGCGGATACTCTGGGATAGGTGCCACACATTGAACCTTCTTTAGGGCTCACTAAACGGCGTCTGCATCCGCGGACCAATGTAATTCCACTTGTCTTCAATGAGTTGGGTAAGCTGTTTTGGCGATGTTGGCCTTTATCGCTCATATCATAAGACGGACTGGTTTTATCTGTCGAACTCGAACCAGTGTCCTGGCCATGTGCAGTCCATTTTTTTAAGTCCTCAGTTCGGGTTCCACGAGGCTATTCGTCGCCTCCGAGTGATTCTCTAACCGCGCTGTCTCACATCTAGCAGGAATCATCTCGTCACTGGCCAGAGTGAACCTCGATGATCGCGGCTGTGCACGGTGTCTCCACTTCTTCTCTTCCCAGTCGTAGCATGTGGTGCTCCAAGTCCACCGGCGTATCATAGGCCCGCAAGACATCTAGTCCCAGTACAAAGTCGTCCGCGATCTCGGCGAAGGACATATACGAGGTGCGATCGGAAAGTTTCAAGACTGTGTCAATAGAGGGCGAACCGGATGTAGTACGAGCTTCTGCCGCTAGGGGGTGCGGCCTACATTCATAGTGAATCAGTGTGCCAGCCGGCATCATCGAATTAGCATTTGTTTCTTAGTTACGGGCGTTTTGGTAGTGCATTACACCGACCCTCCTGCGATTTCGGAATGGCGGATTTTCATGAACAAATCAAATTTTGCCAAAGACTCGCCAAAAGGGCTACGGAAACCTATGAAATGCTAAAGCAAGCATTTGGGGAGTCCGCAATGGGTCGTGCACAAACTTTTGTGTGGCATTGACGTTTTAAAAATGGCCGAACCTCTGTCGAAGATGACGAGCGTTCTGGACGACCATCTTCGAGCACAACGCCCGAAAATGTTACGAAGATTCGGCAGGCCATTCACGAAGATCGACGTCGTACCATCAACGACTTGTGCGACATTGTTGGGATAGACTATGGGACCTGTCAGCTGATTCTAAAGGACATGTCGCTTTTGAAACTGATAAAGGAAGAAGACCATTGAAAAAACCATCCTGCGTCCTGATCATATATTTGTTTCGACAAGCCAGGTACGCGGTACCTAGCGAAATCGTCTGTGATTAGCGTAGTCTTTATTTAAGTAACTCTTGTCCATCGCGGATAGATGTCGCGAACACATAACTCTTTCTCTCTCTCTCTGTCTGTTTTCTTCTTCCCCTTTCCCCTCTGCCCGCTTTTAACACTTGCATAAGGCCAAATACATTGTGCGCCGAATTTGTGAAGCAGCGTGGTAAAAGGAGGTTTGAGGTTGTGTATGTGTGGATATACTTGAACGTACATTCTGAAGTGCAATATTGGTCAACCGATCTTAACTTTGTGGTAAGAACAGCAGTTGTCATACATTATGATTGGTGACTTTTTGTTCACCAACGATGTATGTGATACTTCCTTAAAACGCACAATTTCGGCTACTGCTTGCAATACAAGTCTCCAAAACCGTTTGCCAATACATTGTCACCTAGAAGGTAGCAACTGCGATGTTTGCTGTAACTTTGGACGACTTTCAACATTAGATGAGGCTTTCCCCCCAAAGTCTCGAAGTTGTACGTTGAACTTCTGGTATAAAAACTGAAAGACAGTGCATTTAAAGACTTTTTCGAGAATGTAACTGTTCAGCCATATTTAGGCTATCGGCACTCCTTGTCTGTATATTATATATTTTAAACATTTACCATTACTGCTTACTTCCAATGGAGAATTATTTTTTCAAACTTTACCCCCTCCCCCCCATTTTGTTCTGTTCGTTTCATGCCATTGGCCCTCCTTTCTTCTACATTTCTTTCAATGTCTTTCAACTTAGAATAACAATGGAAAATATCAGCTATGCTTCATACTACACTGTTCTAATTCTTAGCCTGTATTATTAGTACTTCTAAAAAAGCTTTACAAACTTCAGAAATATTTGCGAATCCTTTCAGAATCATGGCCTTATCTCTGAACCCCCTCTCCCAATTATATCATAATCAGTTAACTTGTAAGTGGTGGAACCACACTATGATAAAACTTTAGGTATTAACTAAAAGAAAACATCTGTGGGGTATGCTAAAAAACTTATGAGTTTATCAGCATCCAGACTACACGGCCATCTTCAGACTCACCACCATGAAAACCTCAAATCCTAAGTAACAAATTTGTTTAATGTTCTTTATAAGTTTTTTTGACAGCAGATAGAACTCTGGAACAATTTTTAATAATTTATTTTTGCCTCTTATTCCTTGAAATCCCTTCATATACCACTGGTGGTACACATACTATACTTTGGGAAATACCTAACTAGATGGCTTAGGGAACCCAAAGGTTCATCACAGAATTTACAAAACCCATCCACTGGTCCAGTCCTGCGCCAGCAAAATTCAGTCGCCTTCAACCCCTATCTCCCATAGAACCTGCTCGATATTATCCTCCCATCTACTTCTAGGTCTCTTCCAGTAATGCTTCCTGACAAATACCTGGTGCACACCTCTTGCCCCATCTGTGTGCGCCACATGCCCTAGCCTTCTCATACTTCTTGACCTCATCACCATGACAATATTTGGTGAGGAGTATAAATTGTTAAGCTCATCATTATGCACTTTTCTCCATACCCCATCCTCCTCTCTCCTAGGCCCAAATATCCTCCTTAACACCCTATTCTCAAACACCTGTAATCTGTGTTCTTCCCTGAGAGTGAGAGACAGTGTTTCACACCCATATGAAACAACGGGCAAAACTATTATTTTAATCTTGTAAGTTCTTAGAAATCAGATGGTAAGACAGAATAGTTTGAACTGAGAAGTAGCAAGCATTTCTGGAATTTAGTCTCCCAATTTCCTCGTGAATATAATTTTGATTTGTTATTGTTGTTCCCAAATATTTTAACTTTGTCACATTTTTGAAGGATTTATTAGCCACCCTATTATGATTTTGCCCTCCTGTCTGCTGATGGGATAATAATATGTACTTGGTTTTTTCTGAATTTACTTCTAGCCCCACCTGTCTGCTAGCCTCTAGTAAAACTTGTGTTCTTCTTTATTGTATTTATATCGTTACCCAATAAATTAACATCATCAGCATGTGCCTATAGCTGATGTGTCCCATTCAGTTGCAAACCGCCCTGCCTATCTTGGACTTTCCTGATGGCGTATTCTGAGGCAAAGCATTTCATTGTTTTAGACCATTCTTGATGGAAAATTAGTCAAATAAATATTTACCCATATGAATTTTGCCACAGATTTTTGTTCAAAAATTTTTCTAGTGTAGCAGTACTTTTAAATAGAACATTTTGTCATCTAGTGTCATTACAGAGAACTTTTAGGCCAATGTGAGTATAAAAAAACCATGCTTCAAAGCAGGTACACATACTGAATTTTACAAATACAGATTATTGTTCACATTTTATTTTACTCTTAGACACAGAGTAGTCTCAGAATGGTACACAATACATTGCAATGCATTTAAAATTTATTTTAAAGAAAACAGCCAATATGAAGGATGATGGAGCAGACATGAAGATGGCCATCATTTCTGGAGATCAGATATTTGATACTGGTAGGATTTCAGTCTGCTTTACTATTTTATGACCATATATTATTTTCATATTTTGGGTTATGGTACACATTTGCATTCGTGTGGATCTTGCAGTTATTTAAGTTCAGGCTTACTCTTTTGGTCTGTAAGTTTAAAGTATTATCAAACCATCTATTATTCTACTTAAACTTGTAGTGTGTATCTCTTCAGCCATATTTTGATATTACTTCTGCAGCTTTTTCATACTATATTCACATTTTATTCAAAGTTTTCTGAAACTATAAACCTTCTTGATATTTAAACCTTATACTGTTAGGAAAATGTTTAAAATATCTGTTAGAAATAATTGGGTTCTAAGTTGTTCAGGAATTTTATATTTATTGAACACTATATTATGGATAAATGAATAAGAATAATTGTATACATTAGTTTAAATGCACACTACATGTTTTAGAAATAAAATACTGATATTACTGGCAGAAGTGGTTGAGAACAAACATGTTTTCTCTTCTCATGACCAGGTCAGGAAAATAATGTAAAAGGTGTAGGAGAATGTCAGTATCCAAAATTGTCGATAGAGGGAAGGGCCATTAGTGGATCCCTTGATAAGACCAGTGTGATACAACTAATCCTTTTCTGCACAATTTGAAATCACAATATCATAACATAATGAGGTCAGTTAATATATTCACTGTATACACTACAGATTAGTACATAACACAAGGCAGAGGATATTTGCTTTCAGTATGTTCCACTTTGGAAAGTATAATAAAAGGTTAATGTAAAAGACTGTGTGGATGACTGGGTCGAAATAGATTACGGATGCTTCAGAAAATTGGTTTTACATTGAAGTAAGGGAAGAATTTGTTCCAGTAACATTTTTGCATCTGCATGATTTAGACCAGTATTAAGAGATTGAAAGGTAGGATCAGGAATATACTAGTTGATATGACATGTAGAAGAGAGATTTATAATGAAATCAGTGCTTCAAAAATCATATAGGTGTTACTTTAAAACATATGTTCATAAATAATGAATAAATATAAGTACACATTCACTTATAACCAGTAGTAGGAATAAAGAGCATTTTAAAAAAAGTAATATCACAGTGCTGTATGGCAGTGATTACATGGAAAGTAGCTGAAGGATGTTGCAGGCAGTAAAATGAATGATTATGTAGCCTAAGGAATAAATTTATGTTCCAGAAAAGAAAAGTATTATCAGGTAATAGGTAACACACTTCGATTTTCACCCAGACAAGGGATGTCTCATGTCTGTCAGATTAGGCATTGGGTGAATGAGGACTGAAACTGAATTATGTATTGTGCAGTGAAAGATGGCTGTTTAACTGTATAAAATTCAATTAATTTATTTAAGTGCTTGACAACAGCCAAAAAGGCCAATAACAGCCAAGCACTAAACCAGAGTAAAGTAAAGTTTGTCCCACTATACGTCATGTAGGTGTTTGGGGTGAGTGGAGGTATAGCTCCTCTCTTCCTTGACCTCGGCACTAGATGGGGGTGAGTGGTCAGCATCACGCCCCCGGCCGACTTTACCCCCAGGAAAGGACCCCGGTACCCATTGTAGAGGAGGCTGGGTGGGCCCCAGAGCCGGTCTGGACACAGAGGCTAGAGGAAAAATCCTCTGCCCCCGTCGGGGATCGAACCCCGGTCGTCCAGCTCGTAGCTAGTCACTATACTGGCTGAGCTATCCCAGCTCACTAAACCAGAGTACAGGATAAAATATAATAAGTAATTAATTTATTTCAATAATAATAAAAGTAAAACAAACAAATGAAACTAAATATATAAATGTACCATATTAATAATAATAATAATAATTTGATTCACTTATTGAATCATATTTTACAAATAAATGGACTAAATATGATACCTAAGTAATATAATTCAATTTAATAATTCTAAATAAAATAAATAATACTAAATCACAGCAATGATAATACAATTTGAGATTTGCTAGCAAAATGTGTAATGTGTATTATTTGTTTCTTCAGTTGCCCGGATTACGTGTTATTTCAGGATCTAGAATGTATGAATTAGAAATTGAAAGTGATGATGATGGAGATGTGAGTGATGCTGATGAACTTCATGAGCAGTTTGTGGTTCCATATAGTTTTCATAATGAAGTTGCTGTAGCCACACACAAAATCTACATCCTGCATATGAATGTGAGCTTGTGAGTAACATTTAATTTATAATTATTTTAATTAGTTATTTTTCTGGTGGTATGCAACAATAGTCATTTCAGGACATTTTTATTGAAAAACAAAATAAGAAATGAAAATTGACTTTTTATGTTGCTTGCTTCATGAATGAAATAAAATGTTTTCATTATTTTAAAGGTAGGAAATTTAAAAATTCGTAGTTTGTGTCAGTTATATTTTAGCAACAAGAATTCAGCATTTGATGGATAAGACAAAAATAATGAAATTTATTTTTATCTGCAATAATTAGCATAAAACAACTTAGGAAAGCATAATTTCAAAGAACACTGGTAAATATGTTAACTTACTGGAGTATACCTTTCCATTCCTTTCTTAAGTAAGTCATAGAGTGGTGTTCCAAGTCTGCTTGTTTCCTGTAGTTTATATAGTCTACAACATATATTTTGGGTTTGCTTCTTTGTTAGCCATACTCTTTTTGTTCATTTCATACAGACTCATCCTTAGATAAAATTAGGCAAATGTCTAAATGTAACAATTTATAGTTAATTTAGTGCTAACCATTGTTTTCAGTTAGGTTTCCCTTGCTGTTCTGTGTACTACATGGAGATTTTTTTACAGTTGTTTCAATTTTGTTTTCTCTCCTCAGAACGTCAAATCCAAGAGTGGCTGTTGCACTATCAGATCAGTCAAGTGTCATTTATGATGTTAATCAGTTGACCAAAGTGGAATCATTATGTGGACACAAGGGGCCAGTAGTGAACATCAAGTAAGTATTGTAAGGACAAGAAGAAATTATAGCAGTTCAGGTCAAGGCTTTCTGATTAATTTGATTCCCAGTATGAGTGTTCTTGGGAAGAACTGGGCCTGAGAGACAATGAGATAATTAATTACATATTTTCAACTACAATTCATACTGGAGATTGCTGTCTTCTAAGTTGTGCTGTGTAGTCTGGTAGATGCCCACCAATTCATACTGTTGTAAAGAGTAAAGTACTGAAATGTAACAAAGAAATCCACCCATTGCATACAGTAGATAATTCATTCTACAAATTTATATTATATAATTACAGTTTTCATAGGAGTGTCATCAAGTGTTTGCTGTGTTTGTAATTTTAAATTTACAAGAATGTTACAAAAAAATTGGTAGGCATGTTCTTGATTTATCATAATATAAAATCTTGCATAATGATCAATTAATTATTATTATTATTATCAAACTGAATCTTAAATATGGAAATTGGCTTGGCTGCCATGTTTTACATTCTTTATTGTAATTAACAAAGGTTACATATTTTTCAAAGATAATTTTCCATGCCAGATTTTAGGACTTGGCATTAAATTGTGCTAGGAAATTGTTATTGTAAAGACGGGTTGCTTTCTAATGGTACAGTGTTCATATGAAGTCATGAAAATATGTCTGTCAGTTCTAACATTACTGGGGTGAGGGCAGAGGCATAGATGTGTTAATATTATAAACTCCTGTCTATTACAAAATAGTAAAATGTAATTCTTTGTTTCAACATATTCTTACATTAGAATTAATGTTTCAGATTCAGTCCAAATGATGTACATTTGGTATATTCTGCTTCTGCTGATGGCACAATCAAATTGTGGGATTTGAGGATAGGAAATCAAACTGTTAAAGAATTCAAAGGTACCTTTATTATTTTATATGATTTACTAATGTCAAAGAAAGTGGTACATCATTTGTAGTTTTGTCTTCATAATTATCATCTTTTTACCTTTTAACGTATGTCAGGTTTGTCATATGTCAGTACCTGTTCCATGTGTCTATTACCCTATCTTTGCCTCTTTTATTTTGCTTCTTACCTTTTCTGTTGTATAAGTTTGTCTTTCTCTGATTTTCTGTATTGGAAATTAGGTACATACACACTTGGTGAAAGTCGAAGCTGTTATATGAAAATTCAGGTAGCCCTCGATTTACGCTGGGGATGCGTTCCTGGACAAACCGGCGTAAACAGAATCGGCGTAAATAGAAACTCTTTTATAATGTAAATCAATGGGAAGTCAATGACATGCGTTCCCAGCACTCAAACATTGACGAGTAATATAATGGTATTACATTTAAAGCTCTGAAATAACATAAATAAAATGAAGGGAATTTATAAAATATACTTTATACACTTACAATCGGCAATTCGTTGGTCCCCGCGATTGACTGCGATTCTTTCATGTGATTGATGTGTGCAGTCATCTCTGCTGTTATGCGATAGTTTTCATTCATGTAAGATGCCAACCTATAGAAAATCGCGTAGTAAAAATAACCGTTACCTCCGCAGAGATTAAATTAGTCCTTTGAAAGTTTAAAGCGCCAGGAATGAAATTGCATAAGAGCAAACTTGCATATGCAAAAGTTTGCATTTCACAAACAGATTTTACTGATTCATCGATCTCATTGGAGCAAGTTCGAGTTAACGAAACATACGTAATTTCAGAGATGACTGTATTTATAATTTTTATTTAAAATTAGTGATGTAAGAATTACGATTTAGTATAAGAATCAGTGCGAGACACATTGTAAAACGTTATAAATAATAGTAAAATATATTTTTTTCACTTTTTGACTTGCTGGTTTCAAAATCGGCGTTATTCTGAATCGGGCTACCTGTATAATATTACTGTTTTTTATGTCCTGTTTGATAATTATTCAAATATTATATTAATGATTTCAGATGATACAGAGGGTTCTGAAAATTTGAAACCACTGTCAGATTTTGATGTTGCTTCCAACAGCCATTTTATATGTGGTGGAACAGAGCTCATAGATGATGATGCATTTCTTCTCTTCTGGGATCTACGTTCAACAACTCTTCTTGGTGGATATTGGGAGTCCCATACTGATGACATTACACAGGTTGGTGATTTACACTGTATGGCATCTATTTATTGTGAGATACATTTTTTGCGGTTGGTAAAGTTATCCAACATTGTAAATCATTAAATAACTTTCAGGGTCGACCTTGGGGAATTTTTAGCAGATTTTCAGCACTCTTAACCTTCTTGCCATTGTACTTTCATACTGCATCCCATTCTGTTCATTAATTGATTATCCTTCCTGCACCATGCTGTAGCTTAAAATTGCTCACTAGTTCAGTCAGACTGCACAGAAAGTGCAATTGGTCTAAAGTTATCTTTCAATTACCACATCTTGGAGCCACCCAACTTCAGCCAAGTATGCAATAGGCTTACTTGGATGCATTGGCTTATCACAGCTATTCGCATAACATTATTGAGGTTAGCACCTGTTCCTGCATATAAGATTATTTTTTAATGATACTAATATTATCTTCAGCTCAGAGTTTGTTGGTTGTGAAGTATAGGAGGTTGTGACAGACTGGGCATTAAGCTTGGAAGAGGTAGGAAGAAATTTTGCAGAATTTTGGTGAGGAAATTGCTTGTAAAGCAGCTACTTTAAGGAACATTATGTTGATCTTCATGAAATGGACTGTGAGGATGAGAGGTGGGTTGAACTGGCTCAGGACTGCATCTAGTGTTGGGCTTCAGCATTAGCAATGTTGGACCTTCGTCAGAGAGACAGTTAGTACGATGGATTGATTGATTGCTCATATACATTTATTGGATATTATTGGTATGCTTTTTTATAAGAAACTTCTTATTGCTTTATTTAATTGTGAAACTGATCTCATATGAGTTATCCTTCTTGTACAGTAACATCTTGATATGTAGAAGGTAGAATATGAATGGTGTTTGAAATGTGATAATGTCATTACATTGGTCAAATGTGAGTGTTCATGTAATGTGAATGGTTGCACAAACTGATAAATTACATTTTTCTTCATTTGAATATTGAACTTAAGAGATATTGCTTTGTTGAATTTCCATTTCTATTTATACATTTTATATGTATTCTCTGTCTTGGTATTAGTGTGATAGTGTTTAGTAATGTTTATGAGTCCAGGTGTGTTTTCATCCAACAAAACAAGACATGCTTGCTTCAGGATCAACAGATGGTTTGATCAACATTTTTGATCTCAGTAAATCACATGAAGAAGATGCCCTTCAGCAAAGTCTGAATACAGAATCTTCAGTGGTAAGTTTTCAGATTTGTACTGTACTTTTCTAATTATCATATGATGGTGACATTAAATTAATTAAACTGTGATTTTGGTCTTTACCTACTGGACTTTAATTAAATAAAACTGAAACCATATATATTTTTATGTTGACTTTTGAGGGAAGAACTACTTCTGTTTCCTATTGAATGTGCATTGGGTCAATGATGCAAATAGAAATACAGTGGAGCCATCACTACATGAGCATGATCCTTTTGACGTTCAAATTGCCTTTGTAATGTTGAAAAGGTATGAATTGCTTAATTCCAGCAGAATTATCCAAACAGGAGATAATGTATTATGTTCTGAAAATCACAAAGTTGTTAATTATACTTGGAATAAGGAAGTATTCCTACATCCCTGGAAGCAATCTATTATTGTACACTCTGTCTAACAAAAATCACTTCTGGTTTGGGACTTAGAACATTTCAAGCACTTGGTTTTTGTTACACAGGTGTACCTATTTATAAAAATGTGATAAACTTCCTAGTAATTATTGAAGAATATTATTGTTATCACATAGTACCCACATAAAGTAGAAATATCTTAGAAAGAAGATTGCTATTAGAATGTTATCCAGCACATTAACTCCATTATTTATATGAAATTCTTGTCTCATAATTATGTTATGAGTGTTGAATTTAAATGCAACATTTCTTTATTGCATGAGTAATTTAAATGGTTTTTAATGGTCTTCATCAAGTTATATTCTGTAAGTGTGAAATTTTGTGCTGACAAATAGGAAGCTATCAAATTTATTGGAGCATATATGAAATATGCACGACTTCTAAAACACAATCTTGAAATGTACTTATGATAGGCACTTCTACATCTTTACACTGAAAAATCAGCTTAAAGTATGTGATTATTACATAACTAGACACCAGATCTTTTGACAGTTGGAAATATTCTGACATTGAGCATAGTGTTTAAGTTGTCTTAAAGATGTAATTTGAAAAGTATTCATGTGTTTATAAGTAGTGTAAACTATATTAATTTTCTAGGTACAGTATTAGCTTTGTTGTCTTTTTTCTTTCAGGAAAAAATTGGTTGGTTTGTTCAGGAAAACAGTAGTGACATGTTGTCTTGTATAACACATACTGAAAATCTGCAGCTGTGGACAAGTGATGGGGCATATCCATTCCTTCAATTTTCCAGGGATAAGATATGTCATGCAATGCAGGTAACATTACCATTGAAATTAATCCTGTCCCTCAATATCAAAAGTAGTTTAGAGACAGTTGCTGGTATTTTTTAAATACGTAACTCATGAATTCTGTACCAGGTGGCACACCTATCAAAAACATGTCACACGTTTCAGCACTTTGTGTGTTTCTGCAGGAACATACAATAAGCAGGGCCATTGAGGCTGTTGGTTAGTAGATATTACCTAACCACACAGTTGCCAATGATACCAGCCTACACATTAATGTTCCAGCAATCTTGATGGCCCCACTTGCATGTCACATGCAGATTATGATGTGTCTGCAAATGGCTGTTGTGATTCTCTAAGACATACAGAATTTGAGGTTAAGACAGCCATCTTTAAGACACCTTCACATGTGAATGCTGCATTGTCTGACCATAAGATGTGCTCCTTAAAATTTGTATCACGTTCATGTTCCCATAAAAGTCATAATTATAGGAGAAGAGACCTTGAATCTGTAGAGGTATGCATGCAGGTCTTCATCCTAGAGGATTAAATGGACAGGATATTTGATACCACATTTCCTCATAGATTCTGTGCCACCATATCCAGAACCATCTCTCTGAGTGCTGGCATTCAGTGTGTGCACAGTTAATCCCTAACAAGTGATGGTGTAGGTAGGACATTGACAATCTCCCTCATTCTCTTGTCCAGCTGGCAAAACACATTACTGTGTGGATGGCAGCATGCTGTTTTTTCTTTCTTTCTCTTTTTCTTCCCCCATAAGCCATAGCTGTAATGTAGGCCTGGTTACCACAAACACCAAAGTTGAAATACATATCAAATTATTCATGCAACACGAAATTCATTCCCATCTTACTCATGTGTTACTTCCACATAACAACTGCTTAGTACAACAGTAAAACTCCTAACTGTGTGCTGTACATTACATCCTGTGGTCCTCCCACAGCTTGATCAATGTGCTTAACCCATTTTATGGTTATGTAAAAAATTTCTTCTAGAGAATTCTTGCTTTTACATTTTCATTTTGTTTTGAGGTTTAGTACTGCCACATTTCCTGCATTCTGTATAATCTGTATAGTTCAAATAATGGCATTAAATAACCTAAGAATGAATAAATAAATATTTAGTATAGTTAAGTACTGTTCTTTTCCAGCGGAAATGTGTTGAAAGCTGCTTCATAGTTGATGCACATCAGACTAATAAACCTGGAGAGATATTGCTGCTGACTTCCTCAACAGCTGGACGAGGGTATGTTCTACTGCACATTTATCTTTTAGGTGGAACTAAAAGTTGTATCATAGAATTTAAAACTCATGGGTGTTAGAGAGGTATCTGGTTTGAATCATTAGGACTATATCTCATCATTAAAATATCCCTAATATTTCTCAATCCCAGTCTGCATGAATCACAAAAGAACCAAAGATAGCAAAGCAAGCCAGTGTTAGAATATCTTGATGCTAAATAAAATAGTTACAGATTATTGTGTGCATTGCATAGTTTATATGAGCAAGTAATGTAAAATGGTATCTTTGAGGTCAATAGGAAATGATAATAGTGCATAAATATTTGTATATGAATATTCTGTTTCAGAGAGTGTCTGAGGACACTTACAGTGCATAAGCAGAAGCTGAAACCACAGTCAAATCTTGCTGGTAATAAGCAGATTGTCCGGGCAAGTTGCTATGACAGGAATGTAAGTCTTGTTGGTATTATTGTTGATTTCATCTTTTAGTGTCTTCTGCTCCTTTCCTTCTTCCTCCTCCTCACCTATTTTTCTTTGAATTTTCATGTATTTCCCAATTCCTTATTTTATAAACTCATCCCAGCCCCCTTTTGTTGAATTGTTTCTTTCTTTTGGTTTATCAGTTTATTTTAACCACTTTGTGTTTGTTTTTCCCATGTTCCTGTCCAATGAACTAATTATTTTGGTTGTCTGTCTCCTTCCATTCTTTCTATATCTCATTGCTACTGCAACATCTTATTTTCATGGTTTTCTTTTACATCCTTTTTCCAACTCTCTGATTTTTCACCTGACTTTGCCTCATGACTTAAATGCCTCCAAAAATTTATTTCTACTAGTTTCAATTGAGTTCTTTACACCTGATTCATTGCCAGTATCTTGAAAATCCAAATTGTACTCATCGTAATATTTTAAGAGACCAACTTTAATTAATTGGGCTCATTGTTTTTATTAGATTCGTGTCATGAAATTGTGTACATTTAATGTTAATTGTATCCAGCTGAGTTTACAATTATGATTATGATGATTCAAGATTGCCTGATTTATGTTTAGTGTCATTTCTTTACTTTGTATTATTTTGTTATGCACATTATTGTATTCTGTTATATGGAACAGTAAGCGACTCTCCGTAATGTGAAAATTGATTAGTTGATTACTGTTAATGATTTGGTTGTGTTCTGAAGGCTTTTATTTCAGCACATTTACCCACAAAGGGAACTAGATTTGTATTTGTTAATACTTCAGGTGTCATCACTGAATAAAAATATCCTCATTATCTTTCCCTTGAGATCACTGTCACAGAAGTACTTCTTCTGTATGTTTAATTTTTTCTTTGCTTTATTTTATAAAAAAATAATCCTACTGTATCAGTTGTATATGCCATGGACTTCAATAGTGCCAAAATTTCCCATTAGATGGTATGTAAGATCACAGAATTAAATTTAGAGCATGCCAAATATCACCAAAAAGATGGTAGAAAAACAAGTTTGCTTGTGCATTTTCAAATTAAATTAGGACTTGCTTGTAGATAGTGATTTTTGTCTGGATACAAATAACTGCTTTGATAGTGATAGTACTTAGTAGTGATAAGAGCACTAGTGAAATGTTTTAGTCATTAGCAGCAGACTATTTACAACTTCTTGAGAAGTAAATGTATGGAAAATAATATTGATTTAAATTGCACTGCATTAATTTACAGAGTGAATTACTTTTGACTGGAGGTGAGGGTGGACTATTATCCCTGTGGAAACCCAGAACTGAATCTGAGACTGACTTTGATACACATTTGAAGGTAACATGCCATAAAATTCTGACTTTATAATTAGTGTTCATCTCCAAAGCCCCTACATGAGATCTGACAAGTAACTGCACTGATGAGTCCGAACATTCTGGATTGCATTCAACATTCTTGTATAAAAGTCATTGATAAACATTTTGTGAAGTTCCAGTGTTACATTGGCACTGTTGATTATCAAAAGCATAGGTGATAATTACCTTTAAACCCTTCATCTTGTGTAGTAGTATAATACAAAAGTTAAATAAACCAACCACTTTAACCACATTTATATTGGCTCTTTATACGCATCCACATATTTGGTTCAATATATAGAGTACATTAAATTATAGAAACCATACATAGTGAAGGCAAGGGTTGTATACCAAATGTTTTGGTAAATCATGGAAAACAACCACTGGGCAGACCAAGGAGGAGACTGGAAGATAATATCAAGATGGATCTTAGGAATGTGGGATGTCCAGTGGCAGACTGATGTTGGCCCTGCAGATTCTGCTATCTGGGAGTTAGTTAATGTTTATGTTCTACTAGCACAGTTTTTAATAATATTTCCATTTATTTTGTGTAGTTGTGAAACATGGTCATTTACCTTGACGTAAGATCTGAAAATCAAGGAAGTGGTGAAGAAAATTTGAAGGCAGTTTTTATCACATGAAACAATGCAATTTTTAATTCACATCCTTTGTGGGTTAGCTTGGAAGATAGAATTTCAGTAAAAAAACCCAAGAACATGGCCACTTGGAAGACCAGGAAAATTCAGAAATTTAGATAGATGACTGGGAGGTAGATAAAATTTGCTCTTGGTCATGTCAAGTAACAGACTTTGGTAGTGTTGAGTGTTTCACTGCTGCTACCAGATAGTGTAATTATTATTAGTTGTTTAATTTTAATATTTTCTGAGTTCATTCTGAAATTGAATGACTTCAGGATATAAAATTCAGTCTTCCTGAATATAGTGTTGCTGCAATCCCTCTCCATCCCCAACATCAAAATTATTTGCATAGCTTGTAGTACTGTTTAAATTAATGCTCCTATTTCAAAGGATATGACTGTACTATATGTTTGCACCAACATTTTATGAAAATTACTTCATAAATAAGACTCTTTTTTATTCCAGAAGCAGCAGAAGTTAAAGCAGCACCAAAAGAAACCATATTAAATAGAACTGGACTTCCTTTGACCACAGTAAGAATCTGCAAATAAGTATTACTGGCATTTTTTTTACAATTTAAATAGCCATAAATTCTACAGAATGTCAACAGGTGTCACTTCTATATGCGATGTTTTTTACACTTAAAATATAAGGAGAAAAGAGTGGTGTAATAGGCATAAATTAAATTACAGTGTGCCCAACACACCAGTGTATTTATTAAATTACTTTGATGACAATTATACAGTAACAATTCTGAACTAGTGAAATGCTTACTTCAGATCTGGTTGGCAGATTTTATTTACAAATCTCCATATATAATTTTATATAAATAAAAATCCTATCACAAGATAAGAGTTTTTACAGCACATAAATTCAGGTTGATCAAAGTACTACTGATATTTCAGAGGAATTTTTGGTCATAATGTTCACCATGCATGTAATAACATGTATTTACCATTGCTATATTGATATTGTGCATCAGTTTGAGGTGAAATAAATATTACAAATGAGTTACAAAATCACCATACTTAAGGTGTCATAAGCAACATGTCATAAACAAAATCTTATGGCCTCAGGCAACAAGATGTTGGTTTAGGATGTGAGTAATATGTTGTGCTATCAGTATGGCAAATGAAAAAAGAGGGGGGTAATAACAATACTAATAAATAAAAAAATAATGGACTCTAAGGCATGTATTATTAGCTTTCACAGAAACAGTATATCACTTGGAGATTATAGTTAATCTCAAAAGAAGGTAGAATCAAGCTTTACTGATCATACAAAACAAAAATACTATAGTCAAAATTATTATAATTACAGTATTACAAAATTACTTACTAGTACAGTATTAATTCTTAAATATATAGTAGTGCAATATAACTATTTCATAGTAGGAAACAGAGATATAATGTAGCTTTTATGCTTACTCAAATTGAGTAACTTCTTAAATGTGTATAAATAAATATATATCTTTTACTGTGATATAACAGATGTAAATAAAGAACAACTATTTCCATCATAAGGCATTTTCTCTAAGTCCGGCTTAAAAACACAACTTATTCAAGATTATACATAATCATGTTCAAAGAAAAACATGTAGGTATATAACCACATAATACATTGACATAACACTTAGACACTATCCACATCTGTACTTTAAATCAGCCAGACATACTTATAACTTAGTCTGCCAAAGCTGATGGTTAAATAAAGACATGTTTTTAATTAAACTATTGGAAGGTTTATTTTTTAGGTAATTGTTAATAAAATGTCACTTTTAATTGTCTAGAAAACTTGAGAGATTCAGAAGTATAATTTGTTTTATCATGGTTTGTTTGTTTGTTTACAGAGAACATGAACTGGGATTTCTTTAAAGCTTCTGAAACAAATTTATTTGTACTAAGAACTATTATTTGTCTACAGTTAAGTATTTACAACTACTTAAAGCCACACAGTCTAAGCAAGAAAACTACTACAATCCCTTCTGGTCACAAGCAATTTATAGATGGCATGTTGTCATCTACTTTGATGACAGAAACATGATAAGCCTGAAAAAAATGAAAGAAAATTCTGTCAAACATAGTTAATTTAAAAATGCTAGCAAAAATAAAAATTACCCTTTACAGCATATACAACTTAATACTACATTAGGCTGATATAATTTTCCCTTCCGATTACCTCCAAGAATGGATTGATTGTGCTTCATACCAAACAGTGCACAAAAAAATTTTAGGTTGTAATTGCAGGAAATTACCCATTGTTTTGTATATGTGAAAAACATTATCTCTCACCAAAAGGGAAGAACATGGACTGAGGGTGATTGAGAATGGTGCTGAGAATATCTGGACCTGAGAGACGAAGTAACAGGAGGCTAGAGAAAACTGCAGAGCACCTTCATAATTTGTACTCTTCACCAATTATAATAAAGGTAATCAAATTAATGGCACCGATATAGGTACAATATGTAACATGTATGGAAGAGATGAGAAATGCATAAAGGATATGGGCTGGAAAACGAGAAGGGAAAAAGACAACTCAAGAGAACTAGGTGAAAATGGGAGGATAGTATAAAATCAATCTTAAATAGACTTTCGGAGTGTGGATGGGATTTGTGTAGCTCAGGATAGTGTCCAATAGTGCACCCTTGTGAACAAGGTAATGAACCTTTGGGTTCCATGAAAGGCAGCGAATTTCTTGACTGAGCGACTTTGCTTCACATGAAGTATTCTGCTTCAGGAGTTATTTGGGGGGGAAAATGCTCACATTATATCCAGGCAAATACACTGCTTTTCTCTCATGAAAAGGTGAGGCAAGTGAGAAAAAATTGCCAAACTTTACTATTATACTGTACATTCAGGAACACAATGAACTTCAGTATACATGAGTTTGAGTTATTCAGGGGATATATTTTGTCAGCCAGTGTGTACTTATCTGTTGTCTCTTGTTTACATTTATTCCAGTTTTAATTTCTGTGGTGAGTTTTATTTCAAGAACTGTTCACAGTGAAACATCAGAAATTACTGGCCACGTTATTACTGAATATGATGATGAAACCCAAGCTCATGAAGTTAAGTTTGATGTGACAAAATGAGCATCAAGAAATGTTAGCTTCCAGATATGTGATCTGTATTTTGAGTATGAATTATTCAGACCTGGCTGAAACACTGAATGAAAATCAGTGCTAGTGGACATAAATTGTTGGAAAAGTGATTTATTTTGTATTCTAAACAATAATTTTGACAGCAATAAGATAGGGGTAAAGTTATTACTCTACAAGATTTCTTTATTACACATTAATTCTTTTGAATGACTGACTTTAATTGGAAAAATAAGAATCATCCAAAAAGCTGGTGTATGGCTCACATATCCTCAGTCTAGTGTCCCTCACGAAAATACATTGTGAGATTTTATCATAATTACTTTTCTATAAAACATTTAAAACTTTAGTCTTTCTACTGTATACCATTTCCTCACCAGTAAAACTAGCTTATCAAAACATAATACAAGGCAAAATGTAAAAATACAAGCTTAAAGAAATAAAATGTAAATTAATGCTGAAGGCATGCCTATGGAAGTTGAAAGGAAATGGATATTCATAAGTGGTGAAGACAACATATGAAATCACTGTTGAAAACTATGTGAAATTATAAAAGTGCCAAATTACTACTAAGAATCAACGTACCGGAAGTTGATGACTTTCGCTGCCAGTAGGCGATTACATTCATCTGTATCAAGAAGAGGGAGGTGCACATAAGGACTCTCGTTCTCTTGGTCCGTAAACTCAAACTTGTGAATCTTTGCGTTGACCTTCATATCCCCAAAAGGACCACGTAATATCAAGTAGTGGAGTGCCAGAGGGTACGTTGTCTTGGTTTTCAGGATCAACTGCAGTTTAACAATATATAAGACCCATAAAAGAGAAAGAGGGCGGTGGATAGGTAACTGCACTGTCATTATACAAATGGAAACAAATGACATTAACACACTTAAAAATGTTCAAATTGAAACCATATAAGTTTATGGCAATTTACTTGGGTTAAAGAAAATGTAAAGTTCATATTAAATTTAAAATACAATGTATTTACCGTGTGTTATACATGACTAGGTTCATACAACTGAAATTCAGTAATCAAGCAGTTCCTCTCAGAAAGCAAAAATAAAACAAAAGTTGTAAATGGTTGAATGAGAGACCAAAATTCTTGAGGGATGCCAGCAAGAACTTACCCATTGTAAAGCTGGCAGAAAACACGGGGAAGTCAACACCAACTTGCTCAATTCTGTGCACAAATTCCCCATGTTTCTGCCATCTTCTCAACAAGTATGCACGTGTGCAGGCTGTCCCCTTTCACTTGTTTTAAAATTTACATTTACTTATTCTTCACATATACATACCCGCAGTTGTCATTATGTACCCCGTGTTCATTAACGGAACAGGTGGAGCTGAGAGGCAAGAATCAACTGCCCAGTAAGAGTATGTAGTCTCACTCTAGTCTTATGTCTTCTTTTATCACCAGCTCTCTACCTCTAACTCTCTATCTTCATTTTGTCAGTCTATATTCTTCTTTCAATATTCTTGATCTTTATTCAGCATGTAATGTCTGTTTCTTCTTAACCTGTATTAAGCTGTCAGGAAAGAAAAATTTAACCCTGGAATGGAATAATGAGTGGTAACATTTGCAGCAATCTGTCAGCCATGACCACTGCAGCTGTTCCACTTCTTCCAAACACTACAGAAGTGTTTGTTTGACGAACGACACCAATCTGGATGATGTGCAGCACTATCTTCTGTGATGCTGAACCTAACTGTGGGATTGAGGGGTGCAAGGACATCGGATTAAGGACACTTTAAACCCCCAGACTTACCTCGAGTCATGAAGTCTGATGCTGCGCTATGTTGCAGCCCTACTTCCACTTTACCTGGTAAGTCATGTTCCGCTCGGAGCTCTGTGTTGGATCTCTCTGGCTATCGTTAATGCGCGCCTTCATCACCCACTGATTGTTGAAAGCGGTGAATCGGCTCGTCTCATAGAAGAGCTTGTGCACAAACTCATCTGTGCGATACGGCTTTATCTGCAAATCTAAAAAGAAAAATTATACTGTTAAAAGAAGTTATGAGAAAAAATTACAAGACTGTTACTTTCCTTAAAATATTTCAATCTGCACTGTGAAGATAATGAACGCTATAATAATTATATTATATAATCCATTTCTGTGCCTAGTTTTCACTAGTACAGATCTTATGTTATGGCATGACACCATGTTTTTAACTCTATCAATATAAAGTTTCATGTGCTTGTCTCTCCAGAAGTCCATTAGTTGGAAGCTAAATGTGGATTTCTTCCCAACCACCATTTGTTTTAGATTTTACAAAAAAAAAAAATTAAGAGTTTAATTTTCTTTTTGACGATCTTTTATTGCTCAAAATTTCAAGACCCTGCATAAGTTGCAATAGTGTTCCTCCTCCATCAGAAGTTGACACAACTATCTTTCTGGTATAAAACTAAAACACATGTACAAAAGTAGTGATGTAGATACCAAGTTCCTTGAAAATGCAAATAATATTTCAAAAGCTATTAGAGGGAACAACAAGCATAAAGGTATGGTACCATTCAGGCATAACTTTGTTGCATATCAAGACTGGTCCATCCTAAGTAACTCTGGTAGGTAGTCAGCTATAGCATATAAGCCTAGGGAAGTAGATGTGCAGAAAGATCAATAACAGCCAAGCTACATAATCCAATAGCTGATAGAACGACTATACAACCAAGCTCAATATTATCTAACCTTTTACAAATCCTTCAAAGTGAATGCCAAGATGTTACTGTAATATTGGCCATAATCCCTCCCATAATTTCAAATCTAGGACATCAATATTTTCAGTATGTGGTATAGCTTAACTTTTTCAGTTGGTTAAGCATAATCAAGTGACATACAAGTTAAACTTAATGTCTTGAAATAAGGTAATGGTGTGACATACCATTGAATGTTATCTTCTCATATGACAACAAGTCAAATATACAGTTATATAACCTCTTCTCTTCTTCACACTTAAGGTCAATGACCTGCAAAGCTTCCATCACATCTGCTCCAGAGCGGTGGGGATGAACACATACATATTCATGTTCTGTTGCCTCATGAAATGGTCCACGCCATGGGCATCCAATACGACTATATTTGCAATTTGTAATCCTATAAAGTACAGCAAAATCATTACAGAATTAAAAAAGGGTACTTTAAGATAACCTTCAAATAACTGTGATGAATTTCTGGTGGAGATTTTTATAGGGAACATTTATCATTCCAACAAAGCCATTTATTCAATCATACATTCACTGAGTTGAGTTATCTACACAGAAGTCTGTCCAACAACAGGCTTTTACAAACCAGAGCCGTAATATAACTATCTCTAGTGGCACTTCTGTTTCTACATCGACTTTATTATAACTTAAAACCTACCCTGCCCTCCTTCCATATTCCCACTTACATCTTCCTAATTGTATTGTCTCACATCTAGCTGACATTCCTCACCTCTCATCACAGAGCATCTCCTCATGTCTCTCTAAAGTAATCCGTGGAAAATCTTTCCCACAGAACTGGCACTCTGAAGGCAATTCATTCACAGCTTTTTCTACAGCCAAGTTCCGAGATGCAGATGTTTTGCTAATTTCAATTCTGCAGTTTGGACATGTAGCAATCTCATCTCTCAATCTTGCATCCGCCAGTACATGAGTAAAGCATCCAGCACACATCAGGTGCCCATTGGTGCACTGCAACACAAATTTAATTTGCTACATGCATAAACTAGAAGTCTGAGACTTTACTCTTTTCAG